CCCCCCCCACGTGGTACCTAACGTGCCAGAATGGAAAAGAAACGTTTCACCAGATGCTGGACAATTTTTCACCGTATTCGTAAGATTATTACCAATTACTCATTCCTTCTTACGCCCTAATCTGATTCGTATTGCAGCAGGACATTCGCGTCGTGCCGCAAGGACGTATCTCTCTCTCTCTCTCTCTCTCTCTCTCTCTCTCTCTCTCTCTCTCTCGACATGCCAACATTCGCGAGGCGAAGCGCACTTTCAAATTTGAATTAACCCAGCCTCCGCCCTCGCGTCCCGCGTCCCGCGTCCCGGCGGGACCTCCGGCTCCGGAATGAGTGGCAAAAGTGTCTCAGGTTCTGTCGGTTTATCAGGTAGTCGACTCCTCGGTTGGCCCGTTTGTGGGTCGGACCTCTCACTGCCCTAGACAACTCTCTAGGCGACCGTAGCGACCATTGGTTACAGTGGTCACGGTAGAAGTAGCTGCCCGTGTCCACCACTGGACTACTCCACTACATCACTAGTCCACTCGAGTGATCAGCTTTCAGGCTGGCCAACTTGGTGAACGGAGAAGCGAGAGTCTATATTTACACGTTCGGCCGCCAGTGCAACCGTTACACGCACTATTTTTGCGCGGCCCGTTTCTGCCCGCGGGTCTTATTCGCGCTCCTTTTTCAAGGACTTCCCTCTCGCAGGACACAAGAGGATCGGCTTCGCTCGGGCAAACGATTGAGCGCCGACGTGTCGTGCAGTCGTGAGTCACGGCGGAGCAGCAGCAGCAGCGGCCGATGGGACAGTGCTCCATCCATCCATCCATCCATCCATCCATCCATCCATCCATCCATGCACCTACTACCGATCTTCGATGCTGCACCAATCCGGGCCGGAGCACCGGAGCAGGACGGGGAAAGGAAAAGATCAAAGTAAAATTCCAGCAAACTGACCTCCAGCTGAACCCCAAAGAGATCCCTGGACCTCCCGGGTCTCGGTGTTTGCAGGTCTTGCATCTCTGCCTCCCGTTCCACCAGGCCCATCTTCGAATGATCTGAAACGAAACCGTATGGGAGATTAGCAACGGTACACGTCCGGCGCACTTGGCACTTAACGGGCGCGTCAGCTACGCATAGTGGGGGGCCTAGACGCCAGAGATGCGTTAGACGCGGAGGAATTAACAAGGTGCAGAGTCTGGAGGAGTCTAGAGTAAACGAAGGGAGCCTGGATGCACCTGGATAATCTTACGACACGTATGCCGTAACGAGGAAGGAACTTTAGCACAATGCACGGAGGCGGTAACCTCGACGCGCTATTACGCGCATGCTGAATACGCTTACCGTTAGACCCGAGAGAGAAATTACCTCCTAATTATTTATAATTAATCGCAAACTGCTACTCGCGGCCACCTTGGCACCGAGCACTGAGCAGAACGAGCTTAGAGCACGTACCCTTTGCATCAAGTACAGCGAGTGCACTACGTGCCACGGTGACGTCACATGGACTCACATGTAAATCCTAATGACCATTTGCCGCCGACTCCGATGGAAGCTCTTGGCTCTGGGTTGCTGCTCCACGGAAAATGGAAAACCGGTAGCGCGATTTCCTCTTGCCCGTCGACTCTACTCGCTCGTCAGATCTCAGATCCTTTGATAACAAAATGAGAAAACAGAAAGCGGAAGCTTCGAGAAAGAGTCGAGCGAACTTGATGCTAACGGGATCGCGATACCGATCATTAATGCACTCTAGGATTAAGCGGCCCCAGAGATCGCGTCTCTTTCTCCTTTTCTTCCTGATCCTGATTAAACGGAAGTTGCGTCACCAAATTCAACTCTCGACTACTCGGCCGTCGCTTTAACATCGAACTGAATGATTTTGCCTTTGGGTTGGCCGAATTCAATCCATCGATACCATTCGTTTTCCTGCTGCGATATACCGAATCGACAAAATCTTATCTCTTAACGACGTGACATCACGATATCTCTCCGATACGCAAGATGCTACGTCAGGGTGAAGGCCTATTAATGCTCATGATTTTCTCGAACTGCCACGGAGGAGATAAGGCTGAACTTTCATACTAGGCGCTCCTAGTTTTAGTTCGACAGAACCTTTTGACTTATCCGAAAATGTACCTCGCAGAGAGCTGGAGAAAATTAAAGCCGCGTGAGGTTTGTGAAAGTGAGCCTGATGACGTGGTACAGAGTGCAGCGAAGGGTCGACAACTAAATCAAGGTTGATCTCGGCTTAGACTTTGCTTCGGTTTTTTTCTTCTTTTTTTTCTTTCGAGTGTCGCATAGTAGTACAGTACGATAGTAGTATAGTAATATAGCAGTACGACAGTATACATATAGGTGCGCTTTAGTCTGTTGGCAGTACAGCGCATGAATACGAGTTCGCTGGCGCGAGAGCCACGAGGACGCTGTACACATCTACATATGTAGATATGTAAATTCCAGGCAGGCATAACTTCGCCACAAGATTCAGCGGTCAGACGGCCGTACCGGACTAACAAGGGGAGGACGCGAGCTTTGGGTCACGGATTTAGGAGTTCTTTTGGGGTAGGAAAGTACTTTGTAATAACAAACTGCACCCCAAGTGGCAGGACGCAACTCGGACCCGCTTTCGAGAAAAACCGGTTTGAAAAACGCAGTACTACTCATATACCTGCACTATTGCCAATGTTTTCGAGAAGGTGGCGTAGCTCGGTTGCAGCGCGCCTGACTACCGCCCAAGCGGCCAGGGTTCGATTCTCCCATTACACGTATTTCTTTTTATATTAATTCCTTTTTTTTTGCTACCCGACAAGCCATGTTTATCTATTAACAATTTTGTCAATTTACGTACGAAATGAGTAGTACTGCGTTTTTCAGACCGGTTTTTCTCGAAAACGGGTTCGAGTTGCGTCCTGCCACTTGGGGTGCACTTTGTTATTACAAAGTACTTTCCTACCCTAAAAGGACTCCTAAATCCGTAACCCCCAACCTCGCGTCCTCCCCTTGTAAGTAATAAGCAGCAATAATAACCAGGTAAGTCTAGACCGAACAGTTTTCTGGTTCAGTATCGCATCCGACCATCTAGAAGCTACACGACGTCCTGCGACCAACTGGCGTTTTACTGTCCTGCCAGTGGCTTTCCTGACATCTTTCTTGCGTCCCACTTCTCCACGCCGTTTTATCAGCCGGCACTCTACGTCGAACCTAGAACTTTCAGCCGACATTATTCCAATCCTCGGCCCCTCCTAAGAGCCAGGACCAACCGAGTCAGAAAGACTGACTATAAAAATAAATTGACTCGAGGGATTCGTGCCTGCGTCATTCGACTTCCTTGTGAAAATTCCGAGCGACTCCGCCGTCTGCAAATAGAGGAGGACTATTTGCTCCATCCTTCCTAAGCATCTAGATCCAGGAACGAGTTTCCGATCCGGCAGAGCTCAGCCGGAAAGAGCAGAGCGACGAGGGACGATCTGTTGGAGAATCCAAGCGAGGAAAGTGCCGTGATCATCGGGACAGCTTCGAAGCTGAAGAGAGTCGAGAATCTGCACAGCCATTACCACACGTGCATTCTGAGAATATTGACGATACACGATTTGCATCGAGAGTCGAAAGTACATGTGAATCCACGGGTACAGAGTCGCGAGAGAAGCACGTTTCCCCGAGCGAGCTAAGAGGCTGCGCTTTGTTTAAAGAAAAGGAAGAACTCGCGGTCGACCTGGAAATCGATTGTCTTATCTCGCATCTGACACCTGGCACGTGGGGGAAATGGGCAAACAGGAGGAAAACTGACTGGAAAAGGAGTCGGTTCTCTTTCTGTAAATCCAGGATCGAACGCACGTTCTCACGTGTTTCCCATTCTATTCCGCGTTAGGCCGGGTAACGCATCGACGCTTGACCTGTTCGTTGAACTGGGCATGGCCATTGGCCAGGCTAATTAGCATTACCGGTAGCGACAAGTGGGTCATGCAGTCGACGAGCTCTCGAGACACTCGTCGCGATTCCTTGACCTAGACGCGTCGACCCAGTCCGCACTCGCGTGTGGATTTTCGCCCCTCGCTGGTCCATCGTCTCTGGCCACCCTAGCACCCCACGCCAAGACCAAGGGGAACAGAGAAAGAGCACGCGTCGAGAGTGTCCCTCGATACGAGAGAGAATGCCGTGACTGATTGTCAGTGGGAGACTCGACCTTCCGAGCCGTCATTTAAATGCCAACGAAGAGCCGAGGGTGGCTGCTTTAGGATCCCCACCTTCTAAGGGTAAGGACGAGGGAAGGATGAGCCATATGATTATGAGGAAAGGCCAATGGCGCACCCTGACTTCCCTCGTTACATCCACATCCGGAGTCATCAGCTCTTTCACGGGGAAGGAAATGAGCATCGACGGGAGGCCGGGGCACAGTGTTCCACTATCAGCATTCCGCTGATTGTCGGAGGGGAAGAGGGGGAGAGGGGAGAGGGGAAGAGGGGCTCTCGCGAATTCAATCGAGCGCGAAAAAGAGTTCACCGTAGATAGGAGAACGTGGCGCGTGGGCCGAGTACACGAGGTAGTAACGTACTTTATGTTTACACGAGGACGGTGGGATCGAGACAAGCCGTAAAGCAACAGAGTAGGAGGCGACGCTGCGACACGAAGACGCGTGATGCGTCTGGACGCCGCGGTTCCTGCGTGTTGGTACTACGCACTATGATAAAAAGGTTGACACCGCGTGCATCGCGCGACAGGAGTGTGCGCCTGTGCGTCTCGTATTAAATGCGTCGGAGTAAGCGTCGGGACGGCGTGTGCCGACGTCAATCAAGAATGGGGCTGCACGCACATGGTCGCACACAGGCTTCTAAATTGAAGGAAGCGTGCTTTCAAATGGCCAAGCAAACGCAGCTTGGCCGGCGCACGGGGGAAGGGAAATCCTTACCTCGAGATCTATTGCATCGTTAAGGTTTTCAATTGAATCTTGGGGACATTTGGCGATGGGCTCTTTGAACCGATCCGTGTCGGCCGAGTTCACAGTGAACGTCAAATGTCGCGCGAAAGTCCGGAGCGCAGGTCGGACGCAGCGCGCGTCTCGTGGACGTCCACGGCGGGACGTTGGAGCAGTGGCCACTCGTCGTACGTGCCGCGTAGTACGCAGCTACGTAGCGGCCGGAATCCTAGGTACGCGCCAAACTCAGATGGAGAGATAGAGAGATAGAGGCTCGAGGCTCGGGAGAGTGAGGGTAGGACGGAAGTTTTCTATCGATCGACGGAGAGTTTTGAGGTCAGGCCGCTGCGCCACCACTGCGGGACCGGCGACCAACCACTAACCGCTAACCGGCAACCGGCAACCGACGCCACCCACCGATCCCACCAACCGGCGAAACCAGGAGAACCAGCTGCTAGTTGGAACAGTTTAAGACTGATCTGAGATCAGGAAGAACCAGCAAGCTTTTTGCTGGCTCTTGGAGGGGAAGGAGTTATCAGTAAAGCAGGAAATGACATTCCAAAGGCCTCGCCTGTTATTTCCTTCGCTCCTTCTTCGCATTCTTCTCACCAGGAACCCGCCGCCGCCTTTTCAATCGCTAGCGACCCCTGCACATTTTTCCGAGATAATTCTAGACTTTCTTGCCTAGTGAAGCCAAACTTTTGACTTTCATTGCGTAACCATTAGACGTTCTTGGCAAGTAAAAGGAGTCTTAATGGGCCTAAAGGGTATAAGGGATAACCAAGTTTCGAAGGGTTGTTGCGAATTTGACACAAAGGAAAGCGTGGCGACGTCACTCGTGCTTGTTGCTATCAGGCCAAGGCTGTCGGCGCAGGTAGGCGTCACGCCTGGAAGATTCCAGCCGAAGTTGGCAGCGAATCAGGAAGACAAAAATCCGTCTCGGCGCCTCGTGCATTTTCAGAATTCGCCAAGTCCAAGTAAAATGATGGGCGACCAGCCAAAAGGATCGGGCATCGCGTTCCATTATATTCCGTGGCGGCACTGATATCGCTATTGTAAATTTCGAAAAATCGGATCCCAGGTAATACAGTCGGTTCTTTCGCGTGCAAGGAAGATGCAGCTTCGAGCTTAAATATTTAAGTCATC